TTAGGAAGTTTGTATAGAACTGGTAGTATTCCATAAAGTTTACAAAAATGTACTGTGCTATATATATATATATATATATATATATATATATATATATATATACAAAGTCCAATTAAATGAAAACAAACATTTATACACAATATTTGGGAATTTGGGCGTCGTTCTTTCCAAACTACTTCCTGCTGGTAAGGGGCGCTGTCATGGGGGATTCGAAGAAGATTCAGAAATCCTGGCTGTAGTCTGTAAGGCTGCTTTTCCAGCTGTTTTGAATGTAGGATCACCTGGTACTCTGTTTCAGGCGGTCTGGCGTGATCAAACCACATTAGTCTGGAAGGAATCCACATCTTTTCATTTTCTGTGGAAACAAAAATAGAAATCCTTTTCCCCAGTAACTTGTCCTTCAACTTAAATTTTTGAGTCCAAAGCATTTTTTTAAAAAATTTCATTTTTTATTTTACATGTCGATCCCAGTTCCCTCTCCCTCCTTCCCTCCCTCCCTTCTTCCCTCCCTTCTTTCCTCCCTCCCTCCTTTCTTCCCTCCCTTTTACCCTCTCTGCCCTCTCACATGCACTCTAACCACCCTCCCCTCCCATCCCCCCACCCCAATTCCATATGTAGGGGAATGCCATCCAGTTGGGGTCATGTAGATCTGACAGGTCATGTGAAGTAGGGACTAGGGCTTCTCTCCTGTTTCTAGGTTAAGGCAGTTATCCCTCCATGGGAAATGTGTTAGCAAAGTCCTTTTGTGCACCAGGGATACATCCTGGCTCCACTGTCTGAGGTCCCTTAGACTGCTCAGTCCTTCTGGCTGAGGCCCTTATTCAGGGGGGCCTGAGTCAGTCCCATGCTGGCTTCCCAGCTATCAGACTGGTGACCCGTTAGCTCCTCCTTGTTCAGGTAAGCTGTCTCTATGTGTTTCTGCAGCCTGGTCTTGTCCTCTCCATCTGCATCTGGGTTCTAGTTCGACTCAGTGTTTATGTATGGGTGTTTGCTCCTGTTTCCCAACAGGCATTAGTTGAGGGCTCCATGGAGAAGTTAATTGTTGATCTCACTCTCTGGGGAGGGCATTTATGATAGCCTTTCCACGGAAGCTCAAATTGTTAGTTGGGAGCAGTCTTGTAGTTCTCTAGACCTTTCTTTATGTTCAATTTTATCTTCAAACCAATATTGGCTCCCTCTTTTATGTTGTCTCTCTCTCCGTCTCTCTCTCCCTCTTTCCTGTCTTCTATTCCTAACCAGGCTCAATCTTCCTGGTCACACATGTTTTCCTTTCCTCCCCCTTGTTTTCTCCAACTTCTCTCTCCATTCGCTGCCCTCCCCCACTTCCCCTGAGCTCTGGGGGGGGGGGGACGGGGACTTGTCCCTTCCCAGTTCTGTGAGGGACTTTATATGAATCTCTTAGAATACACCTTGTATCCTAGTTCCTTTGTTGGTGTGAATTATAGGCTGGTGATCCTTTGATCTAGGTCTAAAATCCATATATGAGTGAGTACATACCATGTTCCTCTTTTTGTGACTGGGTTACCTCATTCAGGATGGTTTCTTCAAGTACCATCCACTTGCCTGCGAATTTCAAGATACCATTAGTTTTTTCTGCAGAGTAATATTCCATTGTGTAGATGTGCCACAATTTCATTAACCATTCTTCAATTGAGGGGCATCTAGGTTGCTTCCAGATGTCTTTGTTGCATGGATGTGAATCCTTTGGGTATATGCCTAAGAGGGGGATTGCCGGGTCATGTGGTAAACTAATTCCCATTTTCCTGAGGAACCGCCATACTGATCTCCAAAATGGCTGTATGAGTTTGCATTCCCACCAGCAGTGGAGGAGTGTTCCCCTTTCTCCACATCCTCTCCAGCATGAGTTGTCATTGGTGTTTCTAATTTTAGCCATTCTGGCAGGAGTAAGCTGGTATCTCAAAGTTGTTTTGATTTACATTTCCCTGATAGCTAAGGATGTGGAACATTTTCTTAAGTGTCTTTCAGCCTTTTTGATTTCCTCTATTGAGAATTCTTTCTTCAGTTCTGTACCCCATTTTTTAATAGGGCTATTTGGTGTTTTGTTGACTAGTTTCTTGAGTTCTTTGTATATTTTGGAGATCAGCCCTTTGTCAGATATAGGATTGGTGAAAATCTTTTCCCAGTCTGTGGGCTGCCATTTGGTCTTGTCCCTTTTGTGCTTTTTAGGAAGTTTGTATAGAACTGGTAGTATTCCATAAAGTTTACAAAAATGTACTGTGCTTTTTTTTGGGGGGGGGGGTCTGTCTTCTTTTTAAAATGACCGGGTTTTGCCTTATAGCAAAGACCGTCATCAAATTGATCTTCCTGCCTCATCCTCCCATGTGTTGGGATTGCAGGCATGCATGTTCAGTCACTATGCACCTTTTATAAAAAATGTTTAATGAACTCAGTTTTAAAAACTAAATACGAGATTATTGAATTATGAGTATTTCTGTTGAAATTTTAGTGTTTTGGGTTATTAAATGTATGTTTCCTTGTCATGTATGTGTTTACACTTCTTTGTTGTGCTTTTAACATCTGTAGGTGACTTTGAGGTCAGCTGTACCATTTCTCATGTTGGAAACTTGGGTTTGTTCTCTTCTTTTTTTGCCCCACCCCACCCCACCCCACCCCACCCCGCAAGGCAGGGTTTCTCTGTAGCTTTGGAGGAACTTGATTTGTAGACCAGGCACTTTGAACTCACAGAGATCCCCCTGCCTCTGCCTCTTGTGTGCATTCTGTAAGTATCCACCAAGTCAGGTTGATCCATAATGTGTTCAAATCATGTCCTTAGTGATTTTCTGACTATTGTATTTTGTTGATTTGGTGTTAGGTGAAGTATTGAATCTGACACAAAGTATATTTGTTATGCTGAGTTTCTTTTTTCCTGTTAGTCCACCTCCCCTTTCTTTTCTTTTGGAAATTTGTTTATTTTATGTGTATGGGTGTATGTATATGCTTGTGTGTATTGTCTTTGTATGACATGTGTGTCTGGGGCACAAGGATGCCATAAGGAATCTTCAAAACCTGTAGAATTAGAGTTACAGGCAGCAGTGAACCACCATGTGTGTGCTGGGAATTAAGCTTGGGCCCTCTAAAAGAGCATTCAGTCCTCTTAACTGCTAAGCCTTCTGTCTAGATCCTGTCCTTCCTTTCTTAAGAAGACTTGTATGGTGGTGACAGTTCTATAATAATTCTTTAGTCTTTTGAGAGCTTTCAGCATAAAAGATTCATAATCAGAGAGCAGAGAAATTATCAGTCTAAAACGGAATAAAGATAAAGAGATAAAGAGAATTTCCTGAAAATCCAGACTAGTTTTTAATCATGGATTTCTGAACTTTTGATTGGCTTACGTAAATAAATGTGCACTTTTGTTAGGCAGGGAGATTGTCTTTGGAGTCCTGTCAATAGTATCGGTAGAAATTTTGTACAGTAGAGGTGCATCTTGGGTGCCATAGAGGAAGAGGAGTAGAAGAAGCCACAGTGATGACATTGATGACTATGTAGTAGTTAATTTTTGTTCCCTTAAATTTATAATTCATCCTAAATGTTGCCTTTTATTTAAGAAGAAAAGCTTCTACATCTGATCCTAGTCAAAAGGCTAATAGTAGTAAGACAAGAAAAATCTAAATGTGTGATTTTTATCTTAGTTACTGTGATAATGAAATACAGATTGTTATCTGAACCCTCAAGTATTTGACCCTTTCTAGAACTTTGCTTCTGCTAGGAGCTGAGCCTGTGTGTAGAACCATTATCTTGTATTCCCCCTTTTTCCCATTTGGATGAAGCCCCAAAATTAATTCCAGAGAGATATGAAGCCTTTAACTGTTCTCACTAGTCCTTGCATACTGACAGTGTGATATATCTGGTCTGGCTAGCATGCAAGGAAGTTAGGAATGGAGTCACTGGAGTGTCCACCTTCTCTTAATTCCCTGGTGCCAGTTTTATCATTGTGGTCCTACTAAAAGAGGCGTGGTGTTCCTGTCTTCCAGCAGCAAAGTAGGTTCAGGAGTTGCCCTAATATTTAGCATTTCCTTCTGTGGGAGTGAAATGAAAAGATGGTTGGCAGAAAGATCCTTGTTCTCTGAAGAAATTTGGGAGTTTAGATCTGAGAATACATAGACTATTGATATGAAATATTGTATGTTACCTGTTTAGAAAAATGTTAATTGTTTTGTTTTTAGTTTTTTTCCTCTTTGTTTTAAAAAATTGCTTCTTCACTGTTCTTATATTGTTGGTCTAATTTTTAGAGATAATATTTTAACTGTACAGAACACAATTCCTTATATAAACTATTGATGTATATAAAAGTATGTAGCGGCTGGAGAGATGGCTCAGAGGTTAAGAGCACTGTCTGTTCTTCCAGTGATCCTGATTTTAATTCCCAGTGGCCACATAGCAGCTCATAACTATCTATAACAGGATCCAATGCCCTCTTCTAGTGTGCAAATGGGCATGCAGATAATGCACCCATATACATTAAATAAATCTTTATTAAAAGTATGTAGAGTTTAAAACCTAATTCAGCTGCTTTTCTGGTATACACAGAAAAATTTGAGCTTATTAAGAAGAGCAGCATTTCAGTGTCAAGAGTTGATATCTGTCAGCACTTCTTGACTTAAATACAAATTGTCAAGAGTTCTACACAGTTTATTACCTTTTCAAATTTTATTAAAATAAACATAAACCTAATGGTAACTCATAGACTATTTTGCTACTTACAAAAGTATAATCTTAGCTAGGCATGCCTTTACTTCCAGCACTTGGGAGGCAGAGGCAGCGGGATCTCTATGTATTCAAGGCCAGTTTGGTCTACAGAGTGAATTTCAGGACAGCCAGAACTATACAGAGAAATCTTATCCTGAACACCCCTTACCAAGAGTAATCTTGAAACATTTAAGCATTTTTATCTAATTTAACTGAAAAACAAAGTGATTAGTTGCAATGCTGTTTTCCTGAGATGTCCAGTTTTCTTTTTTTTTTTTTCTTCTTTTCTTCAGGTGGCTATCATCCAGTGAAAATTGGAGACCTCTTCAATGGCCGATACCATGTCATTAGGAAGCTAGGATGGGGGCACTTTTCTACTGTCTGGCTGTGCTGGGACATGCAGTAAGTGTTCTTTGTCATTATGTGTCTACCTGTGTACATCTGCTTTTAAGATGATGTAGCCAAGGGCCACCCTACCTTATTGTAACAGATTAGGGTGCTGCTTAGCACAGGCCCCTCCAGCTAACTAGACTGGTCTTACATTCCTTTGCTGATGTTTTAAAAATGCTAATTGAGCTGTATTTGTGAGCTTGTTTTTTGAAATTGCTTTTCATCAGAGCTGTTACTTTTCTAGTAGTTCATTATCAGAAAAAGAAAAATCAATACAAATTGAAAATGTATAGACCTTTCAATTCAATATTTGGTGATTTAAAAGCCACATTCCATAGCAGGAAATGTCATTGTTGCTCAGTCCATATTTGTGTGTAGTTGTGTTTATGTACATGTACATATATATACATAAATTGAAACAAATGTTATAAGAGAATATTTTCCTCTTAGTGTCTGTGTTAGCTATTTTCTTGTCTACTCTGTGTTAATTAGAATTGAAACAACAAAGCATATAAAATACGGTTTTAGCCTAGGCACCCACTATTTGTCTAAATTTGAAAAATGCTACTTTTAATTAAAAAAAAACTGTATGTATATGTGCATGATATATGTATGGGTGTAAGAGTACATTTGCTACAGTATGAAGACAATTTTGTGGAGTCATTATTACCTTTCATCTTTATATAGGTTCAGGGGATCAAATTCAGTTTTCTGTGCTTGCCTGCAAATGCCTTTAGCTGCTGAGCCATCTGGATGGCCCCCCAAATACCATTCTTTCATTCATGTGTGTGTGTGTGTGTGTGTGTGTGTGTGTGTGTGTATTTATGTATGTATGTATGTTTTTCAAGACAGGGTTTCTTTGTGTAGCTCTGGCTGTCCTGAAACTCACTCTGACAGAGATCCACCTTCCTGCCTCCCTAGTGCTGGAGTTAAAAGTTAAAAGCATGTGCCATCCAAAATACTATTTTAAAGGAAAGCTTGTTGAGAGTTTCAATTTATTGGCTGCTAGTTAACTGCATCTCATTATAACAATCACTTCTTTTGATGATAAAATAACTATGCTTTTTTTTATTTTTTTTTTCCTAAAGCGGGAAAAGATTTGTTGCAATGAAAGTTGTAAAAAGTGCCCAGCATTATACAGAGACAGCCTTGGATGAAATTAAACTGCTCAAATGTGTAAGTAATCAACAAATATGAATGATATAAAAAAAGTGACTAATGTTTTACTCAGTGATCTCTGTATTATAGCACATTTTTGCTTTTACCTTTTAAAATTAGTGTTATTCCAGGTGCCTGTAAACTTTGTAATTGCTGCTGTATCCTTCTGTATGAGGTCTGTAGGTCATTTAAAATTATTAAGTATTTACCTTTCCTCTTTAGGTTGGCTACTAAAGTAGAATTTTTCATAAGTTTAAATTTAAGTGTTTTTACTTGAAAGAAATACCTTGTTAATTGGCATAATAAAAAAGTGTCATTTATTTACTTATTCACTCATTTTTTTTTTTTTTTTTTTTTAAGCTATGTGTGCATGTGCTCTCCCATGGAGTCATAGATGTTGGTTCCTCTGGAGCTATAGTTACAGGCTACTCAGCTATCAGACCTGAGTGCTGGGAATTGAACTCAGATCTTCGGGAAGAGCAGTACACATCCATAACTGCTGAGCCATCTCTCAAGCCCCAACCTCTATTTTAAACCTCTGTGCCCCTTAGTACTCTGGAAGCTGAAGCAGAATTGCTGAGATATAGGCTAGATAGGCTAGTTTGTCCTGATAGCCAGCATTTCATTTGGGAAAACCAAATATGAAAATCAAAAATGCAAACTCCAACTCCTTTGTTCTTTTATTTATTTTACTTATATAGGTTCGAGAAAGTGACCCCAGTGACCCAAACAAAGACATGGTAGTCCAGCTAATTGATGATTTCAAGATTTCAGGCATGAATGGGATTCATATCCTTTACTTTATGATCTCATAATTATAACACATTTTTTGTTTTCACTTTTTAAAAGTAGTATTATTTCAGGTGTCTCTAAACTTTTCATTGCTGCTGTGCCCCTTCTATTTAAGATGTCCAGGGTCATTGTAAAGTGTTGATGTATGTACTGCTCCTGATCTGGTTGGCTAGAGCTTTGGTTTATTTCATTTATTTATTTTAGATTCTTTTGGTTGTATTAGCATCTTAGAAATGTTAAAAAAAAATATTAGTTTGATTTGGAATGGAGTTAATTATTGGTTTTTTTAAAGTTAGTGTTTATTAATTATACAAAATAAGATTTTTGTCATATTTTCATGTATGTATGTATATGGTATATTAGATTATTATTCACTGTTTTGGTTTTTTTTTGGGGGGGGTGGGCTTGATTTTTGAGACAGGGCTTCTCTGTAGCTTTTGGAGGTTGTCCTGGAACTTGCTTTGTAGAACAGACTGGCTTCAAACTCACAGAGTATTAGGTTATTATTCACTTTTTTGGTTTTTTTTTTTTTGGGGGGGGTGGGCTTGATTTTGAGACAGGGCTTCTCTGTAGCTTTTGGAGGTTGTTCTGGAACTTGCTTTGTAGACTAGACTGGCTTCAAACTCACAGAGATCCGCCTACCTCTGCCTCCCGAGTGCTGGGATTAAAGGCATGTGCCACCACCGATCAGCTATTGTTCACCTTTTAAAAGTAATTGTAGTGGTTTCTTTGCAATGGTAGATGGAAAAATATTGTAGAACTTTGTCTGTGTACCCCATGCATGATTTGTGAATATTTGTGCATATTATGGCTAAGGTCTTCTGGCTTCTTTCAGATCTTCTGTTATTTTCTTTATATCTTACTTGGAGCAGATCCAACATTTTTTTTTTATCATATTTGACCTTCTGAAACTCCAGAAATCTTAAGTCAAAGCCTTAAGTCTCCTTTAAAGCCTAAGAAGCCAGTGTCTGCCCATCCTCTAGCATGATCTTTTGGAGGAAGAAAACTCTAGTTGGAACAGGTCTTTCTTTATATTTCTCCTAGAAATTCCAAAGCCATTATGTTGGCTCATGGCTATAATCCCTGCACTCTGGATGCTGAGGGAGAAGGCTTAAGAATCCACCGTCAGATTTACTACTTAGCAAGCTTGATGCCAGCTCTGGTTACATGAGATCTTGTCTCAACAAACAAACCGAAACCCAAATAAATAATCAGTTTTATTCAGGGATACTGGGAAATACAGAACTCTGCTAACATTATCTCAGCCTTTGCCTCCAGATGATTGCCAAGAAGTAGATGAGCAGGTAGGAACATAACCAGTACCACACAGTCTGTGCCTGCTTGTCCATAAGAGCCATTCTGTTTAGGGCAGGGCATCTACTCAGTGAATGTTAAATTTAATAGAGCTTTTCCTGAGAGGGAGAAGGAAGAGGGGGGCATTCTTTAGAGAAAATAGCACGCAGGCACGCACACACGGCTCCTTTTACTATTAAGTAAAATGACAAGAAGCTACCATGGTCTGGATGTGTCAATACTTTGAGGAGACTTGAGTCTTATTTTGGAAACCCTAGAGTTTGGCCCTGTATTTGCCACTAACTTTAGATTTTAGTTCCTTTCTATATTTTGTAATGAGATTGGGAAGTAAAACTTCATCTTTTCACCCTGTAGTGTACAAGTTCTTTAACAGAATAGAAATGCTTATAATTTTTTTCTCTAAAATATTTTATTAATAGCTATGATAAATCCAGATACTGCAAAAAATTAATAAGACAATAATTACGTGATGCTAACTCCAACAGTATTCCTTTAATAATGATCCAAATATTTTCAAAAGGTTTCAGAACTACTTAAAAAACCTCTTATAAGTATCATTAATTTCTAGGTTCTGTTTGCCGAGCCATGGGTTAGAGCAATGGTTCTTAACCTTCCTAATGCTGTGACCCTTTAATACAGTTCCTCATATTGTGGCAACCCTCCAACTATAAAGTTATTTCTGTTGCTACTTCAAAATTGTAAATTTGCTACTATTGTGAATCATAATGTAAATATCTTGTATTCGACCTCAAAGGGGTCGTGACTCACAGGTTTGAGAGAGAACCACTGGTTTAGAGAGTCACTGATTGAACTAGAGCTTCTGGGTTTGTTTTTGTTGATGTTGTTTGTTTTGTTTTGTTTTTTGAGACAGGTTTTCTTTGTGAAGCTCTGGCTATCCTGGAACTAACTCTAAAGACCAGAATGGCCTCAAACTCACAGAGGTTGGTCTGTTTCTGCCTCCCAAGAGCTGGGAATAAAGACGTGTGCCATGGCCCAACATAGAGCTTCTGTTTTTAAAAAATCCACTGACTGGTGCTGGAAAGATGTTAAGAGAACTGGCTGCTCTTGTGGAGGACGTGTGTTCAAACCCCAGCACCCACGTGGCAGAGCATACCTGTCTGTGACTCTTGAGTTCCAAAGATCTGAACCCTCTGCTGGATTCTGTGGACATTAGGTACACATGTAGTGCAGAGACACAGATGCAAGCAGAACACCCTCACACACAAGATAATCTCATAAAATAAAGAGCTAAAAATATCAGTAAATAAAAAAATCTACTGACTACCTAGTCTAATTGACTCAGTGAAATCCAACATCAATAAAAGACCATATTTTTAAAAAATAAGGTTGAGCTAGGCAGTGGTGGCACACTCCTTTAATCCCAGCACTCAGGAGGGAGAGGCAGGAGGATCTCTGTGACCTCAGGGAATAAATAAACAAACAAATAAATAAATAAGGTAGGGCCAGGCATGGTGGCACATGACATCAACCTCAGTTACTTGGATGGAGGTAGAAGCATGTGGATCTCTATGAGTTTGAGGCTGGCCAGGTCTTAAAATAAATTAATTGGTTAATTAATAATCCATTGCCCTCACAGAACTAGACCAAGTACACTTTGGCTGTGCTTTTTTTTTCATAGGGTAATATTCCATTGTATATATGTACCACATTTTCTTTATCAGTTCATACAGTGGTAGACATGTAGGTCATTTCTGTATCTTGACTGATCATGACAGTAGTGCTATAGTGAACTTGAAACTATTAGTACCTGTTTGAGATCTTGATTTCATTTCATTTGGGTACTTATATGATCTTGAATGATAGTGATGTTCTCATAATCATAACCTGACTCCAAATGCACCAATTATACATTGAAATATGTTAATTAATTAATAAATTTTCATTGGGAAGTGTCTTCTATTGCACAGACTGGTTTTGAATTCACTGTGTAGCTGAGAATAATCTTAAACTTCTGACATGCCTGCCTTAACCTCCCAACTATTGGGATTACATCTTGCATAGCTGAAATCCATTGATGAAAAAAAGGTTAATCTTCAGTATATTTGACAAATTTCTATTTTATGATTTGTTATATTCATTATATGTCATCTGTCAAGTAGAAATTATAAGTGAGTAAGGTAGGCAAGTAAGTTCTAACTTTATTTCCACCTTGAATTTTATGAGGTTTCATCCTTGGACAGAGGTGAAAGGGGAAAACATGTCCCAATGTAGGTCTGAATGATACATGCTCCTTGCCTCTGTTTTAGAAGTGAGTATAATTATATATTTCCTGATGTAATATACATTGACTAATATACAGTAGATGATAGTCTTTAGTGAAAAATTCAGATCTTGTGTATTTAAGTGAGAAAGAGCAACTGATCACCTTGATAGTATTTATTAGTATGGTATTTTATTAGGAAAACAATATTCTGCAAGTGATGATACAATGAAGATGCTTTTAGTGACCTCCTGCCTTGGGGAAGTACATCCTCAGATGTTCCTTAACCTCGTCGCAGATGTCTGCATGGTTTTTGAAGTACTTGGCCACCATCTCCTCAAATGGATAATCAAATCCAACTATCAAGGCCTCCCAGTACGTTGTGTGAAGAGTATCATTCGACAGGTAAGGTTTCAGAAAGCAACCCCACCCCCCGTGGAGAGCAATCCCACCCCTAGGAGCCAGTTTGGTTGCTTTTCAACATGTACTTTAGTTTTTGATGAAGGAATTAATGAGTTAACAACATTTGAACTTTTATCAAATCGTTTTTATTTTTGTTTAATGACATGCATTCAATATTAATAAAGGAAAGCAATATGTGATTATTTGCCATGCATCTCTTCAAATATCCAGACTTTGTCAAGATAAGTGATATTTAATTAGAAATTATTGTATTCTGTATATACTATAAAACATGGATTTAGTTCCCTGGGAAGGAAATTAAGAAAAAGCATTTTATTGTGTTATTTTGTGAGGTTTGTTATTTATTTATTTTGCTATTTCTCAGCACCTTGGATAGAAGGAAAAAGAAAGCTCAAGAGGAGCAAGCTCTGAGGATCTAATGTGCAGCATAGGGATTGTAGGCAATGGTACTGCATTATATACTTGGGATTTGGAGAGAGGAGATCCTCATCTCCACACAAGAAAACAATTTCATTAGGGGATAGATCAATTAGTTCTTTGTGGTAGGTATAATGTATCTATATATGAAAATATCAGGCATTACACAGTAAAACATTTCATTGTGTATTATATTGGATTGGTAAGAAAATCCTTAGCAAGGGAGTGGTTTAGTGAAGATACTCCAATAAATATTCATAGAATGAGAGTATATAGAGATAGAATAGAATGAGAGTATATAGAGATAGAAAACCAATTTCCGTCTAGCATTTAGGTTTTTGTTTTTGCATAGGGTGTGTTGTTTGTCTTCCATTCATTGCCTGTACTAACTGCTTTAAGAAGGTTGCAGATACAGACAGTTTACTTTGAATTATCTGTTAGATGTATTAGCATGAATAAGTCTGTAGATTATCAGTGAGTTTGCTTAGTTTGTATGAGAAGAGGTTAGGAGCCTTTACTTGATCACCAGGTTCAAAGCATGAATTAGGCCTCCCCAGGGGTCCAGCCACATAATGCCAGCCTTAGTCCAGAATTATATGTGGTGTGTATGCATATAGTTGTTCATACATATGAATCTTAGTTACTTTTCTATTTCTGTAACAAAACACCATGATCAAGGCATTGTAAAGTGTTTAATTTGGGGCTCATGGTTTCAGAAGATTAGTATCTGTGACAGTTGTACTGTGTGTCATGGCAGCATGCAGAAGTGAGTCTACATCTGATCCACAAGCAGGAGGCAGAGAAGGTATGGGAAGTGAGGGGAGGGAGGAGGGATAATGAGAACCTCGAAAGCCTCCTCCACAAGGCCATACCTCCTAATCCTAGTTGGAAACTAGGCATTCAAATCTATGAGCCCATGGAGGCCATTCTCATGTAAACCACCAGCAGCATCTGTGTGTGCTTGTCTGTGCTAGTGCTTGTGATTGACATGGCATCATGGCTTCCTCAATCACCTCTTTACATTATTTTTTGAGGCCTCTAGGATCTACAGGTCTCTCAGAGCTGAGTTTATGGGCATGCTGCCACATCTGGCTTTATGTAGATACTGAGAACTCAAATTCCTCATACTTGCATAGTAAGCAGCTCTTGTCTAAAATCTCTCTCTCTCTCTCTCTCTCTCTCTCCCCCCCCCCTCTCTCTCTCTGTGTGTGTGTGTGTGTGTTTGTTTTTGACACAAGATGTCACACTATGTAGTCCTGGCTTGCCTGAAATGTTTTATGTATACCAGGCTATCTTCAAATTTACAGAGATGCATCTGTCTTTGTTTCCTAAGTGCTGTGCTGAGATTTAAGACCATTATCATACTCAGTCCTTAGAATTCTTAAATGGAAAAAGAATTATGCTCTGCTGGAACATCTTGTGGTGGGGACTCCTGCCTCCAAACAAGCTTTATGACCTGAGCTCAATCAATCCCCAGGTCTTACATGGTGGAAGAGATACTTTTGCTGGTTGCCCTCTAACCTTGGCACACACAAACTTGTGTGTGTGTGTGTAACACAAATAAATGTAACAAAACAATGATTCACACCAATTTGTGAATTGAGACACTGGGGTTTGAGAAAGGAACTTCCTTACCCTTACAAGTTTACAGAGTCTGTGCTTATGCACTCACACATAAGTAGCTTTTAAACCCTTTCGTAGAAATTTATAGATTTTAAATTTTTATAGTGAAAGCATCATAGATCGTGTTTAGCCACCTTTGCGTGGCAGTCTTTGTGTCTACCTTCTTACACAGTCTTCCTCTGTAGCACACGACTAGTGTCTTTTGTCATATTACATATGTTATTTAACAAGTTAGAAGTTGGAAAAACCAAAAGGGGGTGGGGTGGGGTGGGGAGGAGCTGGAAAGGGAAAGAAAAGGCCATTAGCAATGGTGGGTGGGTTTTTTGTTTTGTTTTTGTTTGTTTTATTTTGGGGGGGGGTGTTAGTTTTTCTTTTTTTGGTTTTCTAAGACAGAGTTTCTTTGTGTAACTTTGGACCCTGTCCTGGAACTAGCTTTTGTAGACCAGACAGGTCTTGAACTCACAGAGATCTCCCTGCCTCTGCCTCCCAAGTGCTGAGATCAAAGCCCAGAGCTACTACCACCTGCTGGTTTGCAATGTTTTATCTTAATTGGGTTGAAATATTTTAGAGACGTGCTATTAGTGCAGAAGCATCAGGCCAAATTTCTTGATACAGTACCAAAACTTCACCCAGGAACTTACAGGTATTCATAAGACAGCTGGAACAGATTTAAGTCTTGGTGTGATAGCAAAAGGCTATGGCTTTAGGTTAAAAGGCATGGGTATTTTAGAAAACTACCAGAGGAAATTTAAAATGCTTAACTTTGAAGTTACATCTTCAACCTGTTAACCCCTCACTATGAAGCCTGTGAAAGAGGGACACCTGTACTTTTAGCAGGAAACTTAACTAGTGAACTAATGAGCTCCAGGTACCCTAGTCATCAAACACAATCAGACAAATCTGAGAGAGATAATTACATGAGCAGAAGTGAGATAGTTTTTCCAGCTACCTAGGCAGTCACAAGTCTCTCCATGGTCTTTGGGGGACACAAAACCCAGAAGCAGTACTTGACTGAACTTTTTTTGTGGAGCAGGAATTTAGAAAGATAGGCTTACCTGCCTTGGCAGGATGGGATGATCAATTCCCTCAGTGTCCTGTTAGCCAGTCAAGGCAGGGTCTAGGTAGCTGAGGTGAAAGGCAGTTTTTTGTTGTGTGTTTGGCTTTGCCACATCCAAAGTAAGCCTCCAGGTGTAAGTTCTGTAGCCATCCATTTTCTTGGAGGAGATACAGAAGCTGGCATGTCTGTCTGTCATATTTTGTTGTTGTTGTTGTTAAATGCCATACTCTCAGATCTGTAAAGGCAATTGGGGATCAGGGTACCATTACCTGTCAGGTATGTCTAAACAAGTGTTGTTTAGGCTTAACTTTCAGAGCATGTTCGTTAAATCTGGACACATAGTTTACCCAGTCAGTTACAGCTTACCCATGTTAGTAGAGGTAAAAAGATTATCTCAATCTTTGCTTTTCAGTCATAGTCCTGAGACCTAAAGCATAATCCTAACTAGTAGATGACAGAACCAAGTGTTAACTAATACTAAACATTTTAGTAAATCAATATCAAGGTGTTTTACTTTAATGTTACAAAATCTGGCTGCCAGCAAGATTCATCCCTGTACAGGTATATAGAGGTGCAGCTTTTTTTTTTTAATTTATTATTTTACATGTCCATCCCAGTTCCCCCCTCCCTTCCTCCATCCCTCCCTCCCTTTTACCCTCTCTGCCCTCTCACATGCACCCTGACCACCCTCCCCTCCCCTCCCCCCATCCCAATTCCATATGTAGGGGAATGTCATCCAGGTGGGTTCATGTAGATCTGTCAGGTCATTTGAAGTAAGGACTAGGACTTCTCTCCTGTCTCTAGGTTAAGGCAGTATCCCTCCATGGGGGATGTGTTAGCAAAGTCCTTTTGTGCACCAGGGATACATCCTGGCTCCACTGTCTGAGGTCCCTTAGACTGCTCAGTCCTTCTGGCTGAGGCCCTTACTCAGGGGGGCCTGAGTCAGTCCCATGCTGGCTTCCCAGCTATCAGACTGGTGACCCGTTAGCTCCTCCTTGTTCAGGTAAACTGTCTCTATGTGTTTCTGCAGCCTGGTCTTGTCCTCTCCATCTGCATCTGGGTTCTAGTTCGACTCAGTGTTTATGTATGGGTGTTTGCTCCTGTTTCCCAACAGGCATTAGTTGAGGGCATCTAGGTTGCTTCCAGGTTCTTGCTATTACAAATAATGCTGCTATGAACATAGATGAGCAGATGTCTTTGTTGCATGGATGTGGTTCATTTGGGTATATGCCTAAGAGAGGGATTGCTGGGTCCTGTGGCAGCTTTTAATATCTTAGTAAACCAGAATTTTTTAAAACCTTATCTTTTATGAATCTTGTTTTTTAGGGCAGGACAGGAATTATCAGATGACCAACTTAAAATCCCAAAGTAAGTGTAGAGCAGCATAGGGAAATATAGTAAGGACAGTTCCTGGCCATGGGGACACCTGGGCATTGTCAGCCACAGTACTGGGCTTGAAGTGGCAGTGCCTCATGCACTGGAGCCCAGAGAAGGTGGGGACAAACAAGGAGAATGGATTTGGTGTAGGGTTAATGGGTGGGCATGGCACTGTGGGAAAGCAGACCAAACGGGCAGAGAGGGGTTTTTGTGTCTGTCATGAGAAGAATCCCTGAATCCCAGACCAAATGCCACGGAAGCCTTGTTGAACAAAGTCAGAATGCACAGCTTCAGGGAGCCCTGACAGAAGTGTGTCCATAAGACAACATAGGAACAAGAGACTGTACTGTGTGGAGAGGGCAGGGAGCACATGAACCTGAAAACAGACAGGGGCAGGTGGCAGAGGGGCAGGAGCCATGTGGAGAACACAGCCAGTTGCAGTTTAAGCTGTGGGTCTCCTAGGCTTCTGGGGAAAAGGGAGTGAACAGCTATGTGCTGGGTATGAATG